TGCACTGTCGCGGTTCGACTCCCGCTGAGGGTGTTGATAAGACTGATGCAAGGTCGAAACTGCAGTCCACCCTGGACGAGAACAACTTTTGGGAAAGCAAGACTATGTGAAATTCAATGGAATCGTCAGCTCAACCCATATTATTGTGGGAAAATTCTACTGCCAGTCCTTCATTACCTTAGACGAAATAGGGTGAATACATCTCATTACATTGATTTACTGGTAGTCTTGAAACCCTACTCGCATACAAATTTAGATTAACTCGAAATTCAGCAGGAACAGCTAAAGGAGATGTCTAGATCAAGTTAGAGGCATCGCCAGGAGTATAATCATGAGGGTATTGTACCTTAAGTTGGTGAAATAATATAATTTCGTTACGAGTTTATGGAAGAGGTCTATGATATGCCTGACAGTGGTACATACGCTGAACTGAGTGGACTGGATTAAGTTGGATTGATGTGAATGAGCAAGTGATGTTTCACTTGATTCAGAAGTGAATAAATGTAGTAATAGTTCTGCACGGTTCTAAGGTTAATGAGACGCAGAGTCTCCACCCCAGAGAATGGAGTGTAAATGGGAAAAGGAGAACTGGAAAACCAAGTTTATGAAGCATAGGGACTATAAAATGGCAGCAGACATCAAATTCACGGTTTATAAAACAGTCCTCTTTAAGACTATCACACATATTTTATTATATTTTCGGAGCCAGTCATGTGAATAAGCTCTCGAGTATGACGGAAACCGTGACCGGAATCGAGGGCTTGTAGTCAGCCAGTTAGATAAGACAATGACTTTAAAGTGCAGCAGGAAACAGCTAACCGAAGTTGGATGAAGTAGGTAGCCAAACGAAGGTGCAAATCTCAATAAGATGGCATAGCTACGGCATTCTTAACAGGTGGGGAAGGTGATTACTCTTTATTAAATCCATTTAGTTATATGCACTTGGAGAACATTTGAACAAGTAAAGACACAGATAAGTGTAGATAGGTAAGCTGGCAATATTCAATGGAATTGAGTGACAGGAATGCAATGCTAGGGGCTAGTACAGGGGAAAGAAGAGACGTCACAACTGAATATAAATTACTCAGGAGGATTGCCTTCACCAATCGCTTTTACGAGTTATAACTCAGTGATATGGGTAGCGCCTCTCGCTGATTATGTCGACTGTGCCCGACGGAACGTCTAGAAATATGCGACACTAACTATCACATGCTGGAAATAATCATGGAAATATAACAGATGACTCAGGACTGAGTACGTTTGACAAAGTCATACTTTCACCCTGAGCAAGTTGCGAAGAAGAGATCAAACCAACAGTAAACATGTAAAGCAGACAGCGACCAAGCCCAAAGCCGTATCTATGTAGGAATCGTTAATGTAATCATTACAATTTCTGAGTATACAAGACACATATATAGAAGTAAAAAATATATTCAGCCTCAGTAGGTTTCGAAATAGGCACATGAGAGCAAAGCATATGGTACCTCAGGACCAGGAATGAAAGTTTCTTCCGTGAATATTTTTTCTTCCTCCTCATCGCTAACATTTTCACCGGCCTCCTTGGCAGCCTTTCGTCTAGCCTCTTGTTCTGCTTTTAGATTCAGGCGAGCTTCTTCCAGAATTTGAGTGTCCGTAAGCTGAGGCTTAGGCATCAGTGGATGCATGCTCATCTCGGTAGCAGGAAACTGATCTCGCTTATTAGAGCCCTCTGTTACAGGAGCCATATTCAACGATATTTTTGGCTTTATTATAGCTGCTTGGGCAGCAGCTCTTAATGAGGCCGCGCTTGTTGCAGCAGTGAGATCACCAGCAGTGTGGTTACTTAGGGATGACTCAGCCTCGGGCAATGAGAAGAAGGCGAGCCGAGAATTGGAGGCTGGTTCAAAGACAAAATCGTCACCTTGTGGCTCTTCATCTTCCTTTTCTTCCTCTCTGCGAATTTCTGGCGAACTGGGTTCTGAGTTGACCTCAGGCTTATGCAGGCCAACCGTCCGAGGCCTAGCTGGGGCTAGGCGCTTAGTAACCGCCTGAGTGGGCACAAATTGTCGGGATGTTAGATAGTCAGATTTTTTGTCACCCAATAAAAAGGATTGACGTGCAGGTGGTAGCATAGAGAGGAGGCCCGCATGACCAGGCTTATCATTTGTAGAGGCTGCATTTCGTCTGCTAGCAGAATGCTATAGGACATAAAAAGGAGACTAATTGTATAGTAATGAAAAAAAATGAAATTTTTCTAATATATACACGATAAGTATCCACAAATGTCTAGCCTGAAGCCTGTCCATTATTGCATGAAGAGAGCATAGACAATCATGTGGAGGACAAGTCAGATAAGCAGATAACAAATTTTGCTATATCAGCATACCTCAGTATCCTCGTCTTCTGATGAGGAGCCAAGCTAAATGAAGGTAAAGATAAAGTGGTTGTAATAGCGGAATAATCAAGTGTAAATATCAAGTATAAATTTGCCTGAAGGCTTAAACGGTAACGTGTACTCTAACATTCAAGTATGCGTATCATCGCCAATACCCCATTATGAGCTGGTTTATGCTTAGCACAGCCCAACTATAGTACTAAACTGGTAAACACTTGGCCCCAAATCAGTAACAAGGCTTCATATCATTTATGCATAAGAAACATAACTATTTGCTATAAAGAAATTAGCTAATGGAATACAAACGAAAGGAGCAAATAAGAGCTATTTAAAATAAGAGAGCACTCTATCTTCATACACGGAAAGCCGCTATATTTGTATTCGGTTAATGTTTGTTATTAAACACAATCGCATACAAGTAAGAATTTCGATGCCAATGGATTAAGTCTATATCATATTCAGAATTAAGAGATCCGGCTGTTACAAGATTGTTTGCTCCTTGGTCGACTTTGTTCTGGTTTAATATGCCGGCCTATTCAACAAAGACGGTAAAAATTGGTCGAGCACATGGCAGCGACAGGACATGAAATGGACTTGTCTCAAACTAATGAGTTTGTTGATAGCGGTACGAATTCTGTTAAAAGTAAAATACGGTGTCTCTATATATATATATATATTTTATATTCGCGCTGTTTCTTCAAAACTGCCCCTCGTCTTGGATAGATATAATGCCTTATATGAGGTAAGGCTGTGACGTTCAATGCAATCGTG